TGGAGAGTGAAGAAAAAATATTAATAATAATTTGTAAAAACTAATACTATTTAACGGAAAGTGCGTTAAATTCGTTCTGGTTCGTTCAAGGGACCCAATTCCACCCATTTTTTTTTTCTATTTGGATTGCATGAAACTTAATGAATTACACATTAATACCAATTCGAAACTGCGACTAATCAGATATAAATTAACATTGGAAGAGAGTAGAAAAGGTGTATTGTAAAAGAGGGAAGAGGAGGTGTTGTAGACAAAGGAAGGGGTGAAACGGAGGGTGAAATAGGGGCGGACACCCCTATCTGCTTATATACTCCCGCCCACGATCCATCAAACCGGAACGTTTCCCGCCAACATATTCCTCTCCCTTTACCAACACACATAATTCCTCCCAAGCTATTATATATTTATTTATAAAACCATTCCGGTTAGGGTTCTAAAAATAATGTTATTTCCATACAAATAAAAAACTATAAAAAAAATCTAATACATCCAGAGCTTTCTATTTGTCTTATTTAATATATCTTTGAATATAACAATGTTTCAACCAATATCTTCTGAATATTTTTATTTACATAATTATACATGTATTTATATATCCTGATCACCATTAATAAATACGAGTACAATATTACTGCACTGAATCTAGTCAGGTTGTTTGTAAAATATTTCATCTATTAAACTACTACCTGTAATATTTTTGTTATTTTCGTTTAATTAAGATGTTGACAAAGTGCTATTCTTTTATTTTAATTACTTATTTTCGTATTTTCAATATATGTTATTTATTAATATTTTTTTTTATTGATTTTCATTTATTTTACTATGTCTCTTCATTATTTATTTTTCTTTTACATTAGACTTGGATATTTAAAATAATCCTAAAGAGGATTTTGTATTTTATTAGAACTTTTGAATTTTTTATATTTAGTTTTTAATTTAATTTTTATATATATATATATATATATATATATATATATATATATATATATATATATAAATTAATATAAATATAAATTAAATAACAATATATGATATAAATAATAATAATAATCCTACTTTTTATTTTCTGATTTTATGTTATTTTCTTTAATTTTTATTTTAACAAATAACATGGATAAAATGCAAGCATAATTTTTATACATATAATATGCAAATTACCGTGGTGTATGTAAACTTTTTCGAAAAAAACTCCTCCTGCATAGAGATACTATGCAACAAAAAAAAAAAATAAATTAAATTAACAACTAAATAAAAAAATTCAGAAGTTACAATAAAATACAAAAGACAATTTATGATTATTTTGAAATTACAAATTCTAATGTAAAATATATATATATAGTTGGTTATACTATAATAGAAACAAGTGGCTGTAGATATAATGGTTTGAAAGTTGGCAAAGAGTAGCGTTCACAATGAGAAAACGTACAATTTTTTTAGAAAAAATGTATGCCGAATTTCAGCCAAAGTTTCAGATCTTCTGCAGGCTGAGGATAGACAAGTTAACAACCAAATATAGATGATTAAAAACCTATTATAATAATTTAACATATATTAAATAAAATACATATAATATGCTAATAAATAAATTCAGCCTTGAAGACGGTCAGAAACTTGGTCCAATTGACGACATAAATCAAGAAAATATATATAGAGAGAGAGATATTATTTGTGAGGATACCAATCATCTTTATCTATTTGGAAATTAAGGCTGTTTAAGTAAGGCAATCAATATTTAGTATATTTACCATATAATTAAAATAAAGCGTGTAAAGCAGTACTTGGGATATATTGTCATAATTTTAAAATAATTTAAAATATACAAACACATCCCTTCGTGTTTACTAGTTTTTTATTGTCATATTCAGCTGGAGATACACAAGCATGGTTGTATGAGGAATGCCGTCGTATCACCAATAGCCTCGAGACCAAAAAATTAATCAACCACTGTTGTTGCAGTTTGTTGGTGTCGTTGAATTTCCCCCAGGACCCGGGGTCAGGTGATCAACACCACCCTTCCTTCGGTAATTGGCAACCGCTCTCATGAGCAGTAAAAAAAAAACTGATGTGTCCCTCAACCGTACTCGTCCTCTTCTGAAATTGATATACCTCCGATAAAAACCAAAAAAAAAAAAAACCAAATGGATGGATATCCAGTCGATTTCATTTTATTCTAAAAATTAAGTCTCCGAATTACATAACAACAAACTTTTTCTTGCGTCTGTCCTCCCCTTCCTCAACTTTCAGGCTATACAGTTTTTTCCCCGGGCCAGAGGGATGAGGGGGTAATGCTGTCAATCGATTGAATCCATCAGGATTATAGAGAAATCAAAACTTTATTTACACATAACTTAAAAATTATACAACTTTGAACGATAATTAAATTAAATACAATATGAAACAAAAAAATCATGGATATCGGATAATTATTTATAACATGTTTTTGAATTTCATTCACATTTTGGTTTTCAAGAATGAACCATAATAATAGACCAAGAAAAAAATGTTGAACTCCTCTCCTTCAAAATTTAATTTATGTATTTATTTCCGTATTATATTACTATTTAACAACGACCAGCAAACCATGCAGTCAAACTAGTAATACATATTATATTTTTATTATAAAAAATATAAACCTGTTTATTGAAATTGTCTCTCTTGTATTGAGTAATAAAAAAATAATAAAATAAATGTTTACTTTTCAGATTTTTGAATAAATTTACCTGTAATTAGTATCTTTAATACAGCTTTGAAAGTAAAATTTTATGTGTCCATTCTCCCATTTGAAGTTTTAGAACCCATAAAGAACAGCCGGTAAACTCCGCCGTTTTATGAAGTTGATTTACAATAATATTATAGTACCTCTCGACTACTAAAAAGTTGAAGTAGTAATTAGGTTTAATCTTTAAAAATATATTATTAAAATATATATATATATAATATATATATATATATTAAAACGTTATTTTTGCGTACCCAATATTTTTCTTAGAAAGGAAAGAATTGTTGATACCAATTTTACAAAAGAAATAGAAAAATAAAAGAGCAAATTTTATTTTTTTCGAGCTTTTGTTTGTTTAGAACCTTGCTATTTTATATCTATTATGTCTTGGCTGCCGTAAGCAATATTATAATTTTAAAAAAATATTTTCTTAAAGTTTTTGTTATCAAAGTTTACGTCCGTTTTTTATTACTATGTTTATTATTTACTTTTGAATATCTTATTTTATCGTACAAACAGGGTCAGCTCAATGTTAGGATCTACCACCTCAACATACAAACATAAGATTAATAAATATTAGAATGTATATTATATTTGAAAATTTAAACAAGGTACTTTTACTTACAAATCACCAATGCTGCAACCAAATCAAAGAACAGATTTTTGAATTATTTTATCCATTAATTCTTCAAAGGGCGATTTTATTGAAAATTGAAGTCCAGATATAGCTGTGCTTCAATATTTAAAAAAAAAAAAGTTAAAATTTATTTTTATTTGGATTGATGTTGAATAATGATTTTAATAAATCTTGAATGTTTGACGCTCTAGTTGTACTAAATAATTGATAGCAGTGACTATGAGAATAACAGACAAAAAAATATTGATGATTAGAGTGAATAGGTATTTAAAGAAAGCACACTGAGAATGGCTGGTCCCTAAGTAATGTATATATATTTATAGATTGTATTCTTTATTTAAATCATTTACTACTGCAAAAAATGAATTATAACACCGGATTATGCTGTGAAATATACTTAATAATTTTTTGATTGAATAAAATTCGCCAGATTAATATTTGTTACTATTATGATAGTTCATATAACCTTTTCATTCATTGAAGTAGAAAATTTCGATGGTAGGTTGATGTGGCAATGCGAACAAGGTGGAAAAGGGATAAATGTTGGTGGAAGGAAATGACCCTGCGATAAACAAGTATAGGGGTCCCCCACTTTACCCTCTATCTCCTGGTTAATACCTTTATCGCCACCTGAAGCTGCTCTTCCTGACCTGTAGTTTGAACTATATAAATATGGATTTTAAGACTATATCTATTATTTATAATTATCTATAATTATATTTCGAGTAAATAACAGATTAAATACATCGCAATATTTAATAATTATGAATAAACATATTAATTAATAATATTAAATAAATAACTATTGGAGGAAGTTATTCGACTGTTCGGCATATCACGGTGATAAATATTCTTGACGCAGTCATCATAAAGTTATTGTTTTGCCGACGTTTCAACCCAGACATGTGAGTCATCATCAGGGCTAAAAAAATTTTATACAATCACAGATATAGTCTTATACAAGAGATAATGGTTGATAATAAAAATATAGTGATTGATGATATATGAAATTTGTAAAAAGTTATACAAATTAAAAATAATGTATATAATCAATTTATAAAACATGTAATATTTTCTCCTACTAACCGTGTTTCGAGAACTGAAGGTATTCATGTACTGACTCTTTGGTAGGTAAGTAAAAGGGTCGGGGGGAGGATTTCCCATATGTGCTTTTTCAGATAGCAAAAGGTAGGTAAACATAGTCAGAAAGGTGGAGGTGGATAACATTTATCTTAGTAGAATGAATCTCCAGAAATAATTGTCAAAAGGTATACGTATAATATATCGTTGGAAAGTGGAGAATTTTAGAAAAAATAATATCAAATAAATAAAGTTTTAGAAGATAACGGAGAGTGACGAAAAATATTTAAATAATAATCTCAGAAAACTAACATTATTTAACGTAAATTACATGTTTCCAAGGAAATTAAGCTTTAAGCCTCAGCTTCGTTTAAGCTTCACTTCAAAAATTTTATAATAACCGATTATTGCCACAAAACAATTCCTATTCAAAGCAGAGCGGTAATTGAAAGTTGTGTGTTGCAAGCACAAGCTTTTTTTGTGTTATGATGTGTTAATTATTACACATATTTTAGTATTTATTAATCCATCTAATAAAGATATTAATTAATATTTTAATGTTGCAGGTGCGAACACTGTTCGTCAGTGGGCTTCCAATGGACGCCAAACCGAGAGAACTGTATCTTCTATTCAGAGCATATGAGGTAACTAAAATTTTTATTATCTAGCACATTAGACTGATTTGTAGCTAGTATGTTCATAAGAGTCCTGCATATCAAACACAAACATCTGTCATTTTCTTAATGTAAAGAAATAGTCAATTTTCGTTAGTTTCAGCTAAAACTGTTTCTGATGAATTTATATAAGAATTTGGTCTCATATCTCACGGTTGGATCCAAAATCATCGCCGACTTTCCCGTCTTAGGAAATGCTACAATGTCGGCATATCGGGAGGATCCATCCGTATCTATACAATATACTTCTTCGAAACTGGCGTAATCTCTCTCTTCAAGGAGCCTCATCAGTTCATGTTTGACTCTGTGGTAACAGCGTGTTATAAGGAGGGAGTTGTTGGGGCATTTTCCAAGCACATGTGCTGGTGTTTCTGGCTCTCTGTCGCATTTGCGACAGAGGGACCCAACTTCTCTTACCTGTCCGCAGACACCTGGTACTCCACGCAGGGGTGCATAGTTAATATTTAGTTTCAGGGCATTTGACCATTCAGACCCAGAAAGTACTTGCTTATCGTACATGTATTTATTGGCTTTCGGGGTCTCTTTAAAATTGCGAACTTCAATGCCCTGCCACTTGCAATTGGTCCATTCCTCAAACGAATTTTCTTGAAGCGACTGCCGTAGAGCTCTCATATTCCGAATACCCCGATCAACTCACTCAATCTCACCCAATCTCTCGGCACATTCATCAACCTCAGCCGAATAATCAAAGATCGACTGAAAAAGGGCATCGGGCACATTGGACAGTCGCTAAGCAATGGAGCAATGTTGTAGAGGAGCCTCCCATTGGCAGCTGATTAATCCTAATCCTCAATACCTCCTGGGTGAGTACAACATCGCCGTGGAGGTGTTCGCAGGGAGTCCAACAATAGCCTTCACACTCCTGCGAATCATGGTGTCGATGCCGTCAAGTATGGCAGGACGCAGCTTTGTGAGGGGCGCAGTTTGGAGAGGGTAAGTAAGACCCGGGAACAGATATTGGTTGACAATGTTTAGCTTCTGCCCCGGCTTCAGCAAGGGAGAGGTTACCAGTTTATTCAGATTTTCGTTCAATTCGGTCACCGAATCTTCGTTGAACTGTACCTCTCCCGAGAATGTACATCCTATTGATTGTATCTCCATTCTGCAATGTTTGGATGTACTCTCCATTCTCAAGGGAGAGCATCGCGGTTTCCAGCTCTCCTTTATTTAGAACGATGCCCACGCTTTTTTGAGGATTAATAGCCAAACCAACATCCTCAAACGTCCTCTGAACGCTGCCGATAACTCTTTCTGCAGCCCCCTTGTCACGCGCTGACACGGCCTGGTCATCCGCGAAATCTGTGAGGACCACACAACCTTGGTCACTTTTTAACTTTTTCCAAAATTTTTGGAAAATTCTTCATCGCACAGGTCGCGATAGAGATGATCGATGGCCAGGTTGAAGGGCGACGACGACAAGGGACCGCCTTCAGGTACCCCGCGCAGCACTTTGATTTGGCTAGTTGCGTGAACACCGTTACTAATTTTGATTGTGTTCGTGCAGAGGAGAGCCGATAAAAACAACTTATCAGACAACGTTTCTCTTTTTCATTCAAGAGAACTGAAAAAACAAGAAAACATCATCGCACGGAGGAATAAGTTACTAACCCTATATTAAAAAGGGAATATGAACTAGAATTGATTAAAATTTAATCAACTAGAAAATTAAAATTTTACAAAATAAATATTTTTTAAAATGGTAAAAATAATGAATTAGCCCTAAAATTTAGATAAAAGAAAATAAAAAGGTACAATCCAAAAAGAACAAAGTACAGGCAAAAGGTTGCTTAAAATAGTAAAAGAAATTGTTTATCCTATTTAAAACCAGAACTATTCATATAACATATCCAAAATAAACTTCTGTTGTATAAAACTTTGGTATAAGATCGGTGAAGATAATTTTCAATCGAAAAACTTCAAAACAAGACTTATTATTTGATATTCACTTGCTGGACATTAAATAATTTATATTAACATTTCTAATATAGTTAATATTAGTTCCCATTGTATGTATATTACAACATTTAACTGAAAAAGGCAGTAAGCTTAAACAAAAACACTTTTAACGTTAACATAAAACTGGTCCGTAAATCAACAAATTCTTTAATATGCCAGCTTCTAAAATATTTAACACTCTGTTTATATCTGAGTGATAATTTTAAAAATCAAGATGTCATGGTTTGTGAAATTGCGAGCCAATGTCCATCCCGAACTAAAAAAAAAAAAAGAACTTGAGTTTTCATGTCTGTGCTAACCGCTACTTATGTTACTATTGTGCTTAAGTATCTGTTTATATGTTTTGGAGAAGGAGTCTTTACGAATTATTGATAATACTGGTACTTATTTCAAATACTTATGATTCATGACAATATGCAGGTACCACTATAATACGTAACTTTTATAAATTTTATTTGACTTTGCATAATCTCTGTTCCTGTAATAAAACGTAAGGTTAGGTCACGACTTGTCCTAGGCGATCAACATAACTTATCTTTCTGAATGAAAAAAAAAAAAAAAAAAAAAGGTTTCCCTTTATTTATTTCATTAATTATTATATTCTATGGTACAATTGTGTTTGTTTTAAAAGTTTTATAATATGTTCTATTGAATTTATTGAGTCTTTTAAAGCTATTTCTCTACCTAAGGTATTAAGGTTCTCTACTTAATGAATTGTTCTGATAGAGGTAACTGGGTTAAATGTGCCATATATCGAATCTAAAATCATTAGAGGCCTGATAAAGCAGTATAACGATTGGATATCCATTAACAATGAACATACGGTGCCAACCCGATCTGGTTGAGAGGTATTCTATAATCTCATCGGTGGTTGTCGCTCCTAATTATCGTGTGTGGGGAGTAAAGTGCGACCAACGTGCCCCCGGGCCACGATTAATGAGTATTAATTGGCCAACAATGGCTTTGGCTCCCTCATTATACCGCCAGGAAATAAGGATATCGATTAGTAATTAACTAATAAACCGGCCGTTCAAACCCTATTCTGTTTTTCGGGGAGGGGGCGGGGTGGAAAGTTAAAAATTAATTAAAAAAAGGGGCCGCCGACCGACTCTCACGCAACTTTTATCTTAATTATAGTTAAAGTATTCAAGAGAGCACCCCAGTCCTTACAACCCTCCAATTGTTTTAATTAGTAATATTCCTAATGAAAGGCTATGGCGCATGCTAAACTATTTAAGAAGGTAATAGCGGCACCAGGGCTTTCCGACGCCACTAACCCAACGGAACTGAATTGATATTAATTCGGTTGATACATTAATTAATATCCGGTGCCTCGTAGTGATGAAACGTCTTATTGAGAATTTAGGCTAAAGCGGCAGTAACATTCAGGGGTACCCATCCCACCTCCAAGATCGATGCTACATGAACTATCCCACTCCCCCCTCTCCGAAAATTTTATTACTCTCCACTTCTTAAAAACAGTGCAAGCAAAAGTAGGATTAATATGGATTAAAATAAGATTAATATTAACAAATCGTTTATCATGTACAATTACACTTTCTGTGGTCTGTTCATGTTTTCCTCCTAGTTCTCCGTTTTGAAACTTTACTCCGAAAATTCAGAACTCCTTCGAAATGTGCCCCCATCAAAAATATTGATGGCGCCATGAAATCTCCTTCTAGGTACCTCTATTAATATTTATATTATAAACTAGCCGTCTCGACGAATAGTTCGCGTGGTGTATTCACCAATCACACGGTAGTATAATCTGTAAATAAGTAAATACAAACATATATCGATGAAGAGGTTTTCGTTACTTTGAAATGTAGAAATAAACCCACATGTTGTTATTGTTGTGCGAAACACGTTTATAAAATGTATGACATTAAAAAAACATACATGACGAGGTTACGATGATAGTAGATTAAGCCAGTTTTGCTTCTTCTTAAGAAAGCGAATGTTTTTTAAATGCACTTTAATTAATTTAAGAACATATTATTAGAGGAATGTTTGAAATGGTCCCATTCTCCCCCCCCCCTCCTGTTATCTTGAATAAAATACGTTTGCAAATGCATCAGAATAAATGAGCTAACTGCTATTATTGTAGGGGCGTTATATTACTTTGTCAGAAATTCCTGTTTAGTAACGTTATAATATCATCTAAACCATAGCGAGGAAGGGCGTTTAATAGTGCAGTTGTGATTGGATCGTTTATGTTTTCCTGGTTCCTAACATTCCTGGAATGTTACTTGATCTCTATGGTAATTTCTGAATTATGAATATAGCGAATAATTCGCTAAGTCCTTAATTTTTACGGGCACTTATCTTAAATATACGCGGATTGACATTTTGTCAATAAATCAAGTAAGATGATTAACAACGAAAGATTAAACCTATAATCCCTGCCACCGAACCGAATTTCCCGTAATTCGATAATTGAACTGCGCCATTATAATTATAATAAGTTCTCAGAATATGAGATTCACTGGTTTCCTGCTCTCCGTTGTGGAGAAACCTATCAATCAAAATATTCATACTAAATCCAAAATAATTATAAATCATATCAATCAAGAACGTCAGGGTTATGGAGAGCGTCCGATATGCGGAAGACCTCAGTAATATTAAATTATTTAAAAATTGATGCTGTTTATAAAAGTGTCCGCTGTGGAGAATTTTCCTCTGAGAGTTTCACTATTATCGTCCCCGTCTTCCAATAATTGAGGCACAAACACGTCCACAATATATGCTATATATAACGAGACATGCATGACACGTACATATTAAAATACATACACTTTCTGAAAAAATAAGTAAAACTCGCTCTATTATCATTTTATCCTCACATATTAATTTGTTTTGAAGTTTCTTTAAAAACAATGTCTGAAGTGGTAATGTGATCTTCGTTTAGCTATATTTTTCAATTGCGTGTGATAATTTTTTTGTGCCTGCTCTTAACGCGAACAGGAATATTATTCATCAGAATATGAGAGTGTCACGAGAGGAAGTGTCACGTGACGATATAATAATTATAATAATTTTTTAGTAGAAACATCTTCAAAATAATACGGCATGATAATAATATGTTATTATTACATATTAATAATATATGTTAAAATAAGATTATGATAATATTATAACATAATACGATTCCGGCTCTCAGGAGCGATGGATTTTGACAAATGGGGTTTCAAAAGAAAACCTAATTTGAGGAAGAAGTGGCTATTTCCAATTTAAATTCATACTAAAACGTTCATAGAATGTTTTGAAAGCGAAATAAAGCGGGAGGTTTATAAACACTGTAACGTTAGTTAGTATTTAGGTTTTTTTTTAAATTAAAATATTAATATTTATTATAACACATGACAAACTGCTGATCTATGATAATTTGATACGATTATAAAATCCTTCCAAATTAAAAAAAAAATCTTGCAAAACCTGATTTTACTCATGTTTTGATTTATCATATTGGTTTTGGGCGATAACAATTGCCTTTAGAAAAGTTGAATCCCTCCCTCTTTTAATACATTACATTTATGTATTTTAATATTTTATTGTCAATTATTCATTGATCATGCCAATTATTGCTGTGTGAATAATCTACAACTTGTTAATCTTAAATTTTTTGTTTTGTTTTTTTATTGTCATTAATTATGTGAAGGTAATCTTTAAAAGTATGGCTCTATCATTGGTACTGATTAAATATTATGTTAGATATAGCGTACATACAAAAATATCTGCGATAAATATATTTTTTTTTTCTCTCTGCATACTTCTATCCATATATATCATAATCTTGACAATATGCAGATGTGAGACAATAATCTATAAAGAAAAATAATATTCTTATTTTATTAATTTCATCTAATAAAAAAAATGAAGTTTGAAATATTAATAGTAAAATCCACATGTATAATTGAAAGTTTTTAATTTTCTTATTCACCAGTTTTGTAGTTCTATTCATTTCTATTACATTGTCGGTACTTACCATAATTGGACCATTTAGATTTCTGTACAATGTTTAGTGGTGTTACTGGGAAGTTGGGGCTATTGTTCAAACCACATGGAACTACTGGGCCCTGGTTAACAACGGAACTTGCTGGAAGATTGTATTTGTACTGATTCAGGCCATACTGAGCTCAGTAGCTTTTCGATCTACAAAATATGTTTCGGTATTTTGTATTCTGATAGTTTGCTCTTAGTTGTATTCTCAAAATTTGCTCAAACATTATTTCTTTTGTTTATAGGTTTATTTTTCTAGTGTTCGCCAAACGGGATGCTGAAGTCATCTTGTAAGGTTTTCTTGGTTATATAGAACGGAGTATCGACTATTCTTCGAAGGATTTACTGAAATATCCAATCACGTTTAATGATAAAATATTTTGCTGTTTCCCAAAGTTCTAGTCTAAGTAGGTTTCAGGATTGCCTGGTAGATCAGTAATTTGTTGTCAATATTCAATAAATAATATAATTTATAAAATTTACAATACTAAAATCTTAATTTTTTTTTTTTTTTTTTTAGGGATATGAAGGATCTTTACTGAAGGTAACCAGCAAGAACGGAAAAACAGCTTCGGTAAGTCTCGAATAGCATTAATTAGTGTATGATGTTTATGGTAGCATTAAAACTAAATATATATTAATTAAGTATTATTAATTAATGATGCTGCTAAGGGGTTATCATTGATCATCCGTCATGCGGAATGTCATGTATTCCGTGATGAATGAGCATACCGGGGCCTCATTTTACACGAATACTAAATATAATATACCCGAATATATAGAAATATATTGTTCAATTATTTATTTATAATTCGATTCTGTTGTAAATAATTTTTTTTTAAATGTTAATAAAATCCATCATTATCCTGAAATTATTTTGTACATTGAAGCTATATTTCTAGTGTGTTGGAAGGTATTTGTGTATATAAAATTCATCATATATCTATAGTTGAATTTATTTTTTATAATTAATTGGATGAAACTGTTTAGTGTATTATTAATTCAGAATATTCTTAATAATTGACTTGTGCTGTTTCAGCCTGTAGGCTTTGTGACGTTCAACACCCGAGCAGGAGCCGAAGCCGCTAAGCAGGACCTACAGGTGGGTATGCAGGCCACTAAGTAGAGTGTTGGCCAGATCTCGGGGGTATAGGGTACAGAGGTATACCAGTACCATGGTTAAGCTGGGAGAAGCTGAACCATGGTACTATTCTCAAGGGTTCATTCAGTCATTCAAACTTCTAGTTTCCGAGGCATTGAATTAATACCTCTACTTTCTTTCATATCATACATTTTTCCCTCTTGAGCTAATTAATTAATTATTAAATTCCATAGTTCATGTTAAATTTGAAGCTGATTTGACGTTTTGTTGTGTATCATTATCATGAGTATTCAATTTGCAAGTGTGGTAATCAGTGAGAATCGACAATATTTCTTTTATCCTTAAATGTGTCTTTTTTAATGTGTTTTTAAAATTTGATTTTGATTATATGCAACAAAATCACATCGTTTGTGATCGAATTTCGAAGTATAACTTAGTTGACAGCCAGAGAGAAAAATATTCACTACATAAATTTTATTTTAAATATTTCAATAAGGATATCAACACACAATACAGTCTTACAGAAAATATCCTGGGTCCTTACACCCCGAAACCGTACCGTTTTTTAGATAAACCATATTTCTTTGCCGAAATTTTCTTAGTTTATTCATTATATTTATGGCACTATTATTCAGAAAAATCATTGCCATCTATATAATTCTTTTATCTTAATTATGAAGGCGATCCAAATCAATCCAAGTCGGCGTTTATCTATGATTCCAAATAAAATAAAATACATCCTCCACTCATTTCAAATTTAGAGTATTTAATCGATTTAATCGATTGAGTATCGGCCATTGCCGATCGCCAATCCAAAAAAGATGCATTTCTTTCTATTGAAATAATATTTATTATAAAATAAAAAAAAATATAATTCCCATCTCAACAGAATATTATACATATATATTATTCATTCCAGATTTTGTGATATTTGATCTCCATGTATTTGTGAACTTCGTCGCCCGGAAACACAAACAAAATAATAAAAATACCATTTGAAACAAAAATATTTGTTTCTTTTTCTCTTCTGAGTTCTCTTAATTCGGAAGGATGACACGTCATTAATTAATAACAGATTTCTTTTGTTTTTCGGGTTCTTGTTTCATTAAGAGATACTTCTTGGTCACGTTTCTTTCTTTTTTTATTTTATTTTTTTTATATGGGAAGAGGTCATTCTTTTGGCGGTTTATGGGCCGTAAAATATAAAATACTGAAACTTTAAGTAATGCCATTAAGTAACGTAGACAGTATGCCCTGGCAGAAGTAAAAATCTTTATGAATGACTTGATTTTTAATATAATTAACGAATTTATTGCCAAATAAAAACAGCCTATTATACATATTCCTGAGGCAAAAGTTACTGAAATCTTTAGTATGAAGGCTGATTGTAAATCATCACGAATATCAATACCAATACTGAACAAGACCTATAGGCAAATATTCAAATAATATTCTAACAGTGGAAATGAATTCGGACTTAACAGATATCTGAAAGATCATATCATTTTCGAACTGAATCAATTATATATCCAATTTATAAAGATTATTCGTACGCTTGACATTTCAAATAAATAAAAGAAAATCTAAATGAAGTTTGTTAAAACCCGTTAATTTAGAGAACATTGATAAGCGAAATTGGTTTGGATTACGAACTGTTTGGAATGTCACCATCCAGCTTCACATGATTGAACATTTTTAATGGAATTAGGTCTTTTGTTTAAATAAACACATCACTCTACATATTCTCATCCAACACTTAACAAATTTAATAAGGATCAGCGTTTGGTAAGTATGTGATTCCACATTTTAGTTTCGGAATGACCTGATCGATTTCAACTTGCATCCTCGATCTAAACGGTGGGATTGTTGATTCGAATACTGTCTATCCATCCTAATATTTTCCCATGAATTAAAATTTAAAAAATCTATTATTTCATAAAACTGTGAAACACTCTTTCACAATGTTTATATATTTATCTTATCATCGTTCGTTTTTTTTTTTACATAGATAGAACTTTCTAAAATAAACAATGCGTTTGTAAATTACGAGGGCAATTGGTATTGGCCACTAGACCCAAACACACCCCTAGCCACCGCATCCCTCGCCTGATTACCATACTAATATACACAAATTGTACTCCACTTACAAAAATTACGCTCCTCGATTGGCTTGAATATTCATGTAGGCTAATTGTATTAGTTAGGAATGTTATTCGAATACACTCATGTTCTTGAAACTCCCTTAACTGAGCAGTACACTAATTGTATCTGGGATTAGTTTCCTCTTGCATAAGTTCAGTTAGGGTCAGATCAGCTTCTAACTCTCAATTACTACTGCACCTCTAGTTTAACCTTTTGTACATTGTTAAGATGTTCTGAAGACGCTACGTCTCCAGAAGTTCTCCTTTATCAGTTTAGATCTACCAACTGTCTATTCAGTGACTGTATTTATTAATAAACTTTAGTCATTAAGAGTTTTAGAATCCGAAAGAGACAAATAGCTATTGTATAAAGCATTAGCTTCATTTATAGCTTTTTGCAAAGCACATAGATTATAATATATGTTAGCTCTGTGCCCTTTAGTGAAGCACAGGGCTTAGTAAACAAATGACAATTTAACAATTGACTGCTAACTTCCAAGTTCCCGGCATCTGAATCCTGTTGCAGTAAGATTTTGTAGACTTGTGTTTGGAAATATTTAAATTTTTTTAAGGCACTTGATTATATTTAAAAAATAAAATTTTCATGTAGAGTAACATTATTATACATAATTAAGTATTAAAAAAAAATCTTACGTTAACAAATAATAATTATATCTTTTTAATTTTGTTGGCAATTAGATTTCCTTAGTATTTTATTCGTTAAAAAAACTGATCAACATGTTTACTTTTTGTGGCATCATCTCCATCATCAGAACAATTCTGTTAAAAATTTCATTATATTATATTTAAATTTGTACCAACGTAAAAAAAAAAAGTATTTAAATAATTTTAGATATTTTATTTTAACATTTTGGCAATGTCTGTACATATTTAAGTATGAAATAATGATTTTTTTTACACGTTTGTTCTTAAGACGAAGATATGTTCTGTTTGAGTAAGAAAACAATATTTATAAAGGAAAACATCAACTTATTTCACTAATCACTTATTGATAGATTTATTTTGAATCAATCAGATATAATACGTCGGCAATATAGCAATAATGTCAATTACGGTATTCTCTTATATAAAATTATCGCTATATTTTTTATTTAATTTTCTTTTTTAATTGCACAATCAGTTTTAGATATTTTTATATAAATGTATATTGATAGACAATTGGTTTTATATATATCTTTTTTACACAAATTATAAATAGCTACCAACTTTGTTAAATCAATAATTTACTTTTTCATAATCTAATCAGTATAATTAGCTTATCAAACCGAACTATAATGCTTACCAACTAGATTATTTCTTAATTTCGTGAACAATTTGGCAATTAATCCAATATTAATTAATTAATAACTTCGAATTGTATAAGTACCTAGATAAGGCATACAAATAAGTACTTAACAACTTGACAAATAGTTTCCATGTTATGAAAAGATAAATTGTCGGCAGATGCTGGAGGAACTTGGGGGTTAGCCGGCGCTCACTGTAATCCTGACACACGAGCTTGCATTAATTTGTACTTACCCTCAGTACACCTTGGCACCAAGTTAGCTGGCCCGACTTGAACCACTTCTCTATGTAGTTGTCACACCTTTCTCTATCTATCTACAAACTAAACAATAATTTTTGAAGGTGATGTAGGGCTGTGTGACTAGCCGACCTGAGGCTAGGGATCACCAAAACGACCCATCACCAAGCACGCCCTCAAGCAATCACTTTCCAAACGCCCAAACTTCTCCGATCACCATCAATCATCGTTTTCCTTCAACGTTTTTCATCCGCCTTTAGTTTTTCCAGCCCTATTTTATTTTTAGTTTTTTTTTTTTTGTTTTGTTTTTTGTGCATGCCCACCCATCGTATCTTTTTTTTAAAAAGAAAAGTTTCTTATTCCGGTTTCACTTTGGCTATTTTATTTATTTATTTACTTTTGGTCTTAATTTTATCATCAATTTTTTTTTTATCATATATTTTTCATTTTCAACTCTCATTCCATTTATGATCTCGCCAAGATCAGTCTCTTAATATAATTTTATTTTAAATTTTTGAATGCGTAAGTTGTCGAATTCCAAAGGACTTTTTATTTATTTTTTTCCACTTGTTTGAAAACAGACAATGCATTGTTTATAACATAGTTAATATAAATTTATTTTTTTATATTAATTATATTCTTTATTACTTATTATTTTCAAACATGCTCATTATTAATTATTAGCCCTCTAAGATAGAAACTATTTCTATTACAATATTTCTACAGTTATTAGTGTTAATTTTATTCCCTATAACGTTCTAGAAATCCACTCGTAGTAGTCCACGACTAATATTTCTGCCTAAGAAATAAAAACAAGCAAATCAGTCATCACCGTTTGTTTTTGGAGTTTTGTTAAAGTTTCTCCAATTACATAATGCACTAGTCCTTTAATATTTCACAACTAATGCATCCAATACTTTTCGCTCAAATGTTAATTTTTTTTTCATTACCTCTTCATCAATACATCCGTTCATATGTCACAGAGGGTCCAGTCAAATGAGTCTTTATTACATGGTATAATATGATCTCACTTTCTGTAGCTCAAATCTTCCAATATTTTTTTTTCTTCTTACAAGGAGCGGCTACGTAAGGAAGTGGTCCAAAGCGGTTCGGGGAGATGGCAGAATTTTTTTTTTCATTTTTAAAAAGAAAAAAAAATTTTGTTTTTTCATTTTTTTCTTTTGCTCCACTGAGCTTTGAGGGGATTTTTGTTTGACTTGGGGCACTGTGATTGCAGCAGGGGGTCCGTTTCGACCCGGATATGCCGCAGACGATCAGGCTGGAGTTCGCGAAAAGCAACACCAAGGTCAGCAAGCCCAAGCAGCCCTCAGCAAGTCTCACCAACTCACACCCGACTCTCATGCACCCACTCACTGGACGTAAGTAACCACCATCTCGGCTATTCCTCTCAGGCCAATCGTCTTCCTCTTCATACATACGCCATTTACACTCTGTACATATATACAACCCTCTGTAACAACACCAGAAGCAAGCCTTATTGTAACCTTTTCTTTTTCCTTGCATCACACTTCTTTTGCTTATAACATTCTGATATGCTTCATCCATAAAATAACATGATTTTTCATTCATTTATTATTTTTTCAAGAATATTTTCGTTTATGCGACTTTTATCATGAATCAGGATGCAGTAAGGAGTTAAACAAGCAGTAATAAATCATTAATGGCGAATGTAGGCGGGCGTTTAGCATGCCATTTGCATCCTTCTTCAGAGCTAGGAAAACAAGATATGAGAATAATAGAAATGAAAAGAATAAATATAGTGGCATCTTGGATAATATAACAAAATCCAAAACAGAATAGGTGTACAAATATAAAACAAAGGGTATAATAAATATTTATACCCATACTATAAATAAATTCAAATCGCTCTAAATAGGGAGCATGTCTTAGATCCCCACGACTAAACATGTGAATCTGATCCAAGCAATGGTAATGAGGTACCTCAAAAAGGTCGACAGGGAGACAAGAAAGGACAGTACAAAGTACACCTGAATCAGAGGGAGCCTTGATACAAGACCTATTGAGCAGCTTCTTAGAAGAATATCCCCAAGGTAGCTTAGACATCCTGAATGCCAAAGAATATGATAGCCAGAGCTACCTATAATAGATACCTATAGCAGATGCAGAAAGAAAGAGTTCCCAAGGAAGACCCAAGAAGATTTAAGATGAAGAACTTTGAGGTCTGAAATGATAAAGAAGGCAACAGCTGGTAAAATATCTGGATGTATGGGTAGAAACTACCAAATGGTACCTCACTCTTTTTTGCAGTAGATGACAAAAGATATAGGAAAAGAAGAAAAAAACGTGAAATATATTTTGCTTTTTTATTAATATTTTATCGCATTCACTCATCTAAGTTTACTAGATTGGTTCTTCTTATTTCTTAAGATTTTCTCACATCTTATTTTCTTAGTCTTGAAGAAGGACATTTATATGATTAAGACATAAAACAACTACCAGTGAATTCATCATTGCGTGTTGGTACCTCTAATTGGTAACAGAATCCTGATCTGCCAAATCTTTTAAATTTGTTTTGAAATATTATATTTGCCCTTTTGCATAGTCAGCTAATTGTTGTTATTTAATAATAACAAAAAAATATATCATATATATCTAAATTAATAAAAAAATTGGAAATCCTTTTGTAAAAATTATATCTCAAATTTATATGTTTCTAGCATCATTTAAATATATCTAACACTTATAATATTTTTGAAGAAATACTTACAACCTAATATATTCTTAGGATAAGTGGACTATTTCTATTTCTCAAAATATCAAAGGCTTTGCTTCAAACAATATTCTATACACTTAATAGTAATAGTAGCCTGGGGGGAAAAGCCCTGAGGAAATTTACATAAACACAAGGCTACTCACACCAGCCTGCACTTCTTGTTCACATCTTTCCTAATCTTTACTATCACAAGGAATTAGTTGCCTCCTTTCATATTTATTTTTCTTTATTTCTATTTAATCTATATGAATAATAAGAGGTTTGAGGTATTCTATTTTAGTTTGCTGTGTTTGGTCAGACTGGCAGTGGTTATTTAAATAATTCTTAATTTCACACTTTGGCAAAGGACTATGTATTTACTTGGGAGAAAATATTCTAATTGCTTTATAATAGTTTTTAATATATTTATATTCTTTTTATCTGTAATAATTTATTTTAATTTATTTTTTCATGTATGTATACAATACATCAATTATGTTTCTGTATGTAACATGATTTATGAAGAAGCCTGCCAGTGGTCTCCAATATATATATACAAATATATTTTCATATAAAATTTAGGAAGTTGATTAATAATGTGTACAATTTTATCTACAACTACACAGGTTGTTTTCTCCCTTCTAGATGAGTCTTATTGCTATATTTTATGTTATCTAAAAACTCTCAATTCTTTTATTTCAGAATTTAAACTTAAAATAGCTCATTCATTTTTACATAACTTAATTATAAATATTTTGGTTATGATGCCTTTGAATTCCTAAAAGATATCTAGTAGTGATTTGGATGTTAATGAACATTTCTTTAACATTTTAGTGTATCTGAACCTCCTGATTATTTCAATTTCTCAATATGAAGATATTTTTTTGTTTTTAGTTTCTCACAGCGTGAGTTTAACACCCAAATCTGTACCTTCTATGGCATATTATTCTAGCCTATTTAGCCTAGAGTCTCAAGATCAAGATTAATTTGGTACATGGGTCTCTAAAAAATTAAACTTTGTCCCCACCTTACTGAGCCAAAGCTGCCAATAAATGCTTGAGTACCATTGTCTCCAAAGTTTTTGTTTTCTGTATTTTAACATTTTATTACATAACAGTCATTAAAATAATCAACAGAAACTTTGTTGTTGAGAAAGGTTTTTTTTCTATTTTTAATTTATTATTACTTTATCAATATTCACATTTGAAATTATATCTTCCTGCAGAATCAACTTTTCCCTAAACAACCACTATTCAGCATTATTATCAAACTATTTTTCAACTCATTAACATACTAGTAATCTTTTTTTTTTTTTTTTTTGCTTTTTACTTAGCTACTGCTTGTAGCTGGTTTAACAAATTAATGTAACTGTTACAATTTTTTTTTTCCTCCACTTCCAGTCAACCAAAATATATTATCTGCACAAAATGTAAATCCATGCTTGTACAAAAAGATATTAAGGTGAGTCTGTAAGTTGTAACAATAATTATCCAAAATACCCAAGATACAAATTTAGAAGATAAAAAACTGATCAATATTACAATTTTGAGTAATATAAAAACCATTAATTTATTAAGCAAAGCGCTTTGATCATAGTGTCAGTTATGCTGAAGTGAACATATTATGGTAATGAAAGAATCAAAATGAATAGTTTTGAAATACCATTTATGAATCCAAATTTGTAAGTTTTTAAAAAATATTGTAGAAGAACATTCTACTGCATTTTCAGATTTATTAAAATCTATGTAAGCAATCAGTATTTTGCCACTGTTTGATTCATGATTTGCATGTATGTGCTCATGGATTAACTATTTAATTCTTGTATTTTATTCACATGGAATTTTTGTAAAATTGGCAATAACTATGAAGATGATAATTGTTGCGTCCTCAAAACTTATTTTTTAAATAATTTTCTTATAGTGTGTTTTCCTCATCTCCATTTTTTAAATTTTAAATATAATAATGCCAAATATTATAGTCCTAAAAGTTTAGCACCAACCTATATTTGAGCATTTTAGTTGACAGAATGTGTAACTCCAATTTGAACATTTTTGAGTAAAGTCATTTTAGTGATATTTCTTGTAGGAAAATTTATAATACCTGTACAGACAATGAGTAAGTTGTTTCCAGAGTAGATTATTGTAGTGTTTAAATATAGAACTGTGAATAAAGATATACATTTTCCCATTAAAAATATCACTAAAATTAATAATCAAAAATGTTGAAATTGGAGTTAGTCATTCTGTCAACTGAAAGGCTCATTTAATGATTTATAAATATGCACATAAGCTGTTATTCAAGAAATTAAACATTTTAATGTTTACCTTAGAGTTCTGTGTTTGCATATTTATATTTCCATGTTCCTAAATAAATCATTTTGCACTAATGTGGTTCATTATGAAAAAAGAACTGTATACAAAATATTGTACTAATATAAAATTAATCAATAGGGCCGCTAATTGAACAGTTAATAATTTACTTAATTGATAATTTTATGAATTAATATTATCAAATTTCACCACTGAAGGTAAATATTTATGGGATATTTACATTATATAAAACAAAAATATTTTCCTTTTAATATTCATTATTTTCATTTTGTTTTTTTTGTCATGATAGTTATTATTTTTGCTAAAAAAAGGTAATGTACATATAAAATTTCTAGTAATGACTATTATTTTCATCTTCATACTTATTTATCTATAATGTATAAATTTTTTACTAGCTTATACCTCATTGAATTCATCTTATATTGAATCAAAAGAATATTAAGTTAATTATTACTAATCAATTTTATGGTCTGAAATATCTATCCATGATTGTTGCAGACTTGGGTGGGCCATTCTTCACTGGTGGACCCGAGCTATGGCCTCACCCCCTAGCTTATGCTGCTGAACTACCCGGAACTGCTCTCCAGCACGCTACACTGGTACATCCAGCTCTTCATCCCCAGGTCCCAGTACGTTCCTATCTTTGACTATCTGGAGACAAGCAGGAGAGTGTGGCCGACGCCCCATACCACCATGTAATGTCGATACAGACAGCTAGAGAGAGACACCGACATGCACCCAAGAGTTTCTGTTTTGGTTCCCCTATATAGTACCCTGCTTTACCAATTCCAAAAGTTTTTATTATTAGGCTACATAGCGAAACTCCTTTTTTTTTTTCCTTGTTCCTTTTTTTTTTTATTTAAATCCAGTCTTGTTGACTGACTGTTGGCTTGCTTATTCCACTCCTATCCTGACACTGTATGAATGCACATTGCTTCAAAGTATATTTCTAAATAATTTAACTGCATGAATTGCACCCAGAAATTGTCCTTTTTCTATCAGCCTTCTTTATTATAGATATTATTATTGGATGCAACCCATCTCTTCTTGTTTTTTTTTTTTTTATAATTATTCTATTTAAATTCAAAATGGTACTTTTTAGTCTCTAAGAGTCTCTAGGTTCTTTTTTCATCGAACTTTTGTAAATATATCTCATTTATTTATTATATGGGTTCTGAGCTTTGTTTGTTTCTTTTAGTATCATTAATTATTTCTCTACTGGGATTCTTCCATACTAATGTGGTCATTACCATTATTGATTGATTATTTCACTACTCTATCCCAACCTGAGATAACGACAGAAATAAAATTCTGAAAAATTGTACCTACTCCCGCATTATGCTTAATGGTATTATTTTAGTCAAATAGACTGACAATTATTTGCTAAAGATCAAATTATTAATTTGAATTGATCCTATTGAATTCTCACTATAAAAAAGGAAACCTAAATATGAACTAAAAGTAAAAATAAATTAGAGGAAGGAGATGGTCTGAGGTGGCGGTCATAAATAGACTAAAATAGTGAAAAACTATTTTATTTCAAGCCAACATTTCGACCCAACTTTCCAGATCTTCTTCAAGGTGTATTCAGTGAGCAGTTTGAATTAAAACTCATTGTTGGCTTGAAATAAAATAGTTTTTCCACTACTTTAGTGTATTTATGACCACCACCCCAGACCATCTCCTTCCTCTAAAATACACAATGGTCAACTGTTAAGTATTCAATAAAAATAAATTATTGGTGAACTAAATACTCATAATCAGAAAAAATAAAATCTATCTTTATACTATCACAAACTACTAATGATTCATTTGGGCAGATGTGGATTTTTTTTTAGAAATACAATAATAAATAAAATGAAATGAAATTAATTCCAAGAAATCAAGGCAGAAAGTTTTCTTAATTTTTATTACATCTTGATAGAAGCAACATTATTAAATAAATAAAAAACTTATGTTTATGTTGATATAGAAGGCCCAATAGCCTTAAAAGTATTTCAAAAATCAGTTTGAAACTAATTATTTTTTACAATGTAACTTTTTTTATCCTAATGGGTGATATACTGTTAACTAATAAGCTTGTTGGTTAGAACTGAAAATAATAATAAACATAATTTTTAATGTTCTGCTAAATCAGCTATATATATATATATATATTTTTTTTTTTTTTTTTTTTATTATTTGGTTATTTCTTTGTGATAAACAAAATAATAATCAATTTGATCATTATTTTCTGTGATTGATAAAGTCAGTTTTGTGATGTAAAAAATATGGATTTTGATTGATCTTATTAGTAATGTTATACATTTCAATAATGTTTCGCTATGTACTACCTTCAGATTATTATTTGACAATCTATCCCAAAATCTTCATTGCACTCAATCAATTCATTTTGCTTTATTATCAATCCACTTATATTTACTATATTTTGTTTTGTTTTTTAATTCCAATTTGCTCTGTAGTTATCACATTGCACTTGTTCACAACTCCTTTAATCCAGGTAATATTCACAGTACATGTTACCATCATACTATCACCAGTCACACAAAACTAATACTATGAAGAATTTTTCAAAAATTAGGCTGACTATAGAAATCATTGTTACTCATTTGCTAAAGCGAAACAGCATGTTGCTTTTGCTTTATAAAAAGTAAATTAAAACAAACTCAGATATTTATTTCAGATGAGAACAAACATCCTTTCAAAAGAAGTGCTTAAATCTGTAAATATGTATGTATTTACATTACATCAGCTAACTTCGTTATCTCGAGTTCGTGAAACAGTGCAACTCTGAAAAATCTAATTCCCACTTAGCTTGCTTGTCTCCTGTATTTTTTCTCATTTTAATGTTATATGTTGTTTTCTGTTTGCCTGTACCCTGTTAACAGGGGCTGTATTGTCAATCTGACTCATGCATGTTTTCAACAATCCATGAATACAAATGGATAGTTTTATTGAATAAGTTGTGAAAGCTATATGTTATGGGTTTTTAAAATGTCTGAAATAGATTACCTTGGTCAGGTTGCTAAAAAGCATTGGTAACTGCAAAACAGAAAAAGGAAGCTTAAATTGGTATCCTCTTGTTTTGTGAATAATAAAAAGAGTTTATAAAATTATAGATAAACTATGAGTAAGTAAAAAATATGCAAAATATACTGCTATCCTGAAATGAGTCTGATAATTTAATATTACAACATATATCTTTCTGATTGTGCAGTCATCAATGTTTTCCAGTGATCTATATGATATAGTGAAACTTCATTCATGGCGCATGGATAATCAGAAAATATGGATGGCTCATAGAAAGTTTAGAAACAAATAGACATTTCAATTTACAAACAAATAGATATTTCAATTTACAAATACGCGTAAAATAGGAAATGAATAATATATAATAATTTAATGAAAAACTGAATAATTAGTGGTTTCACTAGGGAGTAAGACTTAATATGAATTTCAAATACTTCTTATAAACAAGTTATTTAAAAAATACATATTGAACCTGAGCTATCTAAAAATATTAAAAGTTTTGTTATTATTTCTTCAATTACTTAAGACAGAGGAAACATGAGCATTAATAGGGAAAGATTTTATGGAAAAAATGGAAATTCTTGCTCAACCTCTTCCTAACTTCTTTCCTTCAATTGTCAGTTTTATTTATTTTTTATACTCTGATGAAATCAAATGATAAATCTGTATTAATATACCATGAATGGTTATTATTTATTTATTTTTTAAAGGGTGGAAATAGGATTTATACCTATGGAATTATCAACGTTTTACTGTATAAAATTGGTATGACTGATTTTGTTTAAAGTACATAGGTATCAACCAAATGAAACAAAGTTATACCTAATTCTCCTAAATAAAATAATTTAATTCTGAAAAAAAAACTAGAAAAATTAAAACTGTGTAAATTAAAATAATTTTGAATTTAAACATTTCACAAATTTTTAAGCTTTAACTGGCCTTGATAAATGTAATTGAAATTTTGATTTTTTTTTTACTTTGCATGGTCAGATTTTTGTTAACAACTCTTTAAAAAGTGCTCAGTGGGTGTTTGGTGCTCATTCTTACAAATTTATTTTTGCTATATATACTTTGAATTAGAATTTAAGACTTACTTTTAAAATTAAATTCAAGGTGTGAAACAAGAGATATTTAGTACATAATGTCATACATTTTTTATTTCCTTCTTTTTATGAATTGTGTTAAATTTATATAATTCATTTTTTTAATGTTTATATAAACAGTTTCTATGGTATAGTGGTTAGTCTATCATTACCAAATCATATGAACGCAAGTTCTAACCCTTGAGGATTTTTCCTGTAAGTTTTTTGTGATAAACAGTTCCGCTCAGACTCATTAAAATAACTAAGTTTTTATATGATTTTGCATTCCTGCCTAGAATTTCAATATTAATTTTATGAGGTGTAATATTTGCCTTACACCACTACCTATTCACTAAAACCTGACTGATATCACCTCTGTCATAGAGATGATAATTCTTTAGTTAATTTCAAAGTTTAATATTATATAGCTATCCTGCTCCTTGGACCACTTAGAAATAGACATCCATAAATTGTAGCTAGAGCACCAATCATTGCTAGATAAATATGATAAATGGGGTGAAAATGGAAAAATAAATGGATAATATAAATGGATGATAAAAAATAAAATGGAAAAATAATGCATAATAATATTTGAAGTGTTAGTTAAAAACATAATGATTAGAATGTTAAGATTCATATTAATACTAACATTACAAAGGATGATCAAGAAATTATTTTTAATTTTTTTTTTGTTGTATGATAAGGATATTCAATATATTTATTATCTTTTAGGGTTGTATCATTTATATCATTTTGTAGGGTTGTATTAATCATTTATCTATTTACTGAAATTCCTCTGTTCAAGTTTTCACTAAGTTTATGTACACAATTTTGGGTAATTATTTAGACGAGGACCACATGGTTTACGTGTGGTTCACAATCATTTTGGTCACATTTGTTCATGAAACTCTGAAAACAGTCTTTCCAATAAACTCGGATGCATTTGGCTCTCCACGAACATGTGTAACCGAAACGATCTGAATAATTACCCAACTTTGTATTATTGTTGTTTGTTATAAAAATTGTTTTTATGTCATGAAAATGTCATGAAAAAACACGAATGAACCTGGTTCTATTGTTGTAAAAAGCTATTTCAGATGAGTATGTATAGTATATTTTTATTAATTATTTGGTTCAGCATAAATTAAATTCTATAAAAATTTTATTAGAAGGTAATGATTACCAATACCACTTTTACTATAACATGCTCTGTCACTTGTGAACTATCAGGCACTCCAGATGGGAGGTGCAGCGCCGCCATTGACGCACTCACTCCCTCACTTTCTACCATCTCCAGCGCTAGCCTCTCCAGTTGCATCTTCTCCAACTCCAGCCGGCACAATGCCTAATAATGGGCCCTGCTCTACATTGTTTGTCGCAAATCTTGGCCAATTTGTTTCAGAGCATGAACTTAAGGAAATATTTAGCAGGTAATTATATTAAATTTATTTTATTACATTTTTTTCATGTACCAATTATTAATATTGCTTTTTTATATTTCATTTTAATATCCTTTTTAAAATATGACTAACATTCAAAAACGAATTTTCGAAATTTACAGAATCTGGTTAATTCCTCATTTAGTCCATTGCATAATAATTGGTTTGTCATTATTTATGTTGTCTCCAGTAAAGAAAGATACAAGATTATTAAAATTTATCATTACTCATTTACATTCATTAAACATGGCAGAGAATTTCGGGATACATATTTTTAAAATATATTTCACATTTTTTTTTTTCATCTATTGTGTCACATAAATCAGGAGAGAGGGTTTGTGTCTCTATGTAAGGGAATGTGGAATGTGTTTCTTCTTATAGGTCTGTCATCAATATAATTTTCCAACAGACCACATCAGTTATTAATAATCAGCTTTATGTTTATTATAAATTTATTGAAAGCTATGTTTTTTAAAAACTGTTGAAATTGGAATTACAAAATCCATTTTTTTTTTTTTTCTGATCCTAAATTATTACCCAAGACATATTTGTTTCTATCATTGCTTATAAAATGTTTATTATCTTTATGTTTTGTCCATATAACTGATGAAAAAAATTTAGACATGTATCTTCTTGTTGTAAAAGTTTATTAACTAACACGTATAATTGACTCAAAATGTAACACTTAATAGTATTGTATTTTGCTTAGAACACAATTAATATGAGTTTCTTAGTATAAATATTCTTTTATTTATTAATGAATTTATTCAATAATAGTGTATTATACAATTATTTATTAATCAAGGTGCTATTAATATTACACTTGTCAAGCTTCAGCTATGATTCATTATATTTTTTTTTCATCCATTAAGCTATAATTTATTTATTTCCAATGCTATTTACATACAATAACAGCAAAGGAAATGTCACACTTAACACGATTTATGCACCTAACATTGCTTATTGTTAACACTAAAATCACAATTATTTTTTTTATAAAAGTTGCCATTTTTTTTCTAAACCTCTCAATCTACCCTAAAATATTATTGCTCTGTTAAGGAAGCTATGAGTAAATTTTACTCCTTTGGATTTTACAAAATTCTAAAATCATGTGACATACTATTTATGTATTCTCTTTATAAGTTTTTGCCATATTTCATTAGTTCAATACTGAAAACAGTAGATATATCTCAAAATTTTATCGGCTTTTGATTAGCTTTAATCTGCTTTTATATTTTACAACTTCTATTCCTGACTTGCTGAAAATTATTTGAAGTCATTATCAGTGCAATCCTCTTGTACTATTATCGTATCTAAATTAATATAATTTTTCATTCTTTTCTACAAAAAAAAATATATTAATGAAAGAAAGTACTATAATTATATGAAATTGGATTTAAAAAAAAAAAAAATCATGCTGCATGGTCTATATATACACAAGGTAGAAAAAAAGCTTCCCTGAGTTTATTTCTCGATTTAAGCTCTTTCTAAGCTAGAAGAGATTGAAATTAATTCCGTTTGCTCATTTAATGTTTCTGTATATAGTGACAAGTACTTAAAATTCTGACATACAGAAACTATTTTCTGAGATCTTTTTCTTCTTATTACCTTTTTTTGAAAAGACATGGAGATAGTTTATATGAGGAGTAAAATATACCCCAAGATATTATTCAGTTCCTTTCAACAACCATCAAATTACCCAAGTCCTCAAATACCATATATTTTATTTTTATGAGTTGAGGTGTAAGAAATGGTAAATTTAATTTTGAACATGTTGAACTTTGATAATACCATAAAAGGAAATGTGATTTTGGAAGTTAATACACCTAACAAAGGGTATGGTTTGTGTAGAAGCCTGCCAGCAAGAAGGCAGACTACTCCATGTTGAGAAGGTGATTGTATTATTATGTAAGTAGTATGTTGTGTCAAACTCTTATCTACTCAAGATATCAGATAAATCTTTAAATGACGAGTACAGTTATAATGGAACAATTTAATATTGCTCGTATAAGAACAATATAAATGGTCGATAAGAGTTTCAGATTTGTGGACACACTTTTGGTGTTTGTAGTGATACTTGCACACATACTCTAATACACGTTTTCAATTCACAAAGTAGTAAGTGTTGTAAAATTGTCGCAGTTAATCTAAGAACACTTGTCACACCATCGGAGGAGAAAGTTTGGAGTTCTCACCCCTACTCACAAATCCATTCGCAACTGTAAAACACATATATGTTTGATACACATAATGTTTAACATTGTTTCTTCACAGGTGTAGTTTCATTTGTAGTATTGTGTACCAAGATATAGTGAGGTTGTGAACACTAAAATTGGTACAGATATATTGCTTTTAATGTTTCATTCAGTATTATTGCACTTATGTATATATAATATTTTCTATTTTGTGGACTTAATTGGTACAAAACTTTGTGAGAGGAAAATCATTATTGAATAAAATCAGAGATTGGTCACTACTAATAATGTTCGATTAAAAAAGTATATAATATAGGACATTTGAAATAAACTATACAATTTGTGTATGAAACAAATCAATTTTATTTTTACTATGTAATTTTAAAAAATAAATAATAATCATTTTAAAAAAAAATGGGTTTTCACTGTTCACTGCAATGATTGTTTATAGAAATAAAAAATCTAGAAAGAAGTTTTAAATGCTTACAAAAATCACAATCAGTAGTGGACTTCTTTATGCTGGACCCTTCTAGAAAAAGCCTAAAATGTTTAATAATGTTCCTTCAATAGAGTTTAGCTGTGTTACCTAAAACCAGTTCTTGCAGAACATATTTTTTGTAGCCAAGTGTGTTTCACAAGATAGTTTTCTTATTTCATTTTTGTATCATATTCAATTCATCAGTTGTAAATGAAAAATATCTCCCAAATTCTAAAAAAAATTAATTAGCAATATTAGCTCTTCTTGTTACAACATATTTAAATAATGTTTGAAATAACTTTTCAAATAAATGTTTAAACGAACATACTTTGAAACAATGTAATAATCTATTAGGACTTATAAATTTACTGCTCACTAAACATTTGTAACTGATCTCTGTGGTTTTGTTTCAAGTTCCCAAGTTGTATAAATCTATTACTGTTAGGGATATTGATTCTCTGAGACAAAAACAACCAAACAAGTTCTTTGCATTAATTATTTATAAACATGGCCAAACAGTAATAAATACAAATATTTAAAATATATACAAGCTATCAGCTATGCAAGCTATAAAAAATTAAAAAAAAAAATTTTAATTATTTTTTTTTAGTTCATAAAGAGAAACGATGCTTCTTATTTCAATTGAAAAAAAAGAAGTAAAAATGAGAATGTTAAATAAAAAAAAATTAACAATGCATTTCTCATTTTTACTGATAATTCCAAATGTATCAAGTAATTAATATTAGAATGATTATTTAGATTTAAGATTTATCATAATACTATGGTATTTTTAATATTACTTTAACTTCAAATTATATTCTTATTATAATATGTGTGTTATGTACGTGTGCGTGTATGTATATTTACAAAAAAAAAAAAAAAAAATACTACTGGCAATATAAATATTATTTTTTATTATTTGGTGACTTTTTAATGTTTGTGCGCACGTGTGCACATGACATGTAGACTCTTTTGATTTTCATATAACTTGCATATTACTATTTCAATGCCTGATGACGTTTATGGTTTTGTTCAATGATCTTTTCCTTTTGTCAGTGAAATTATTATTATTATTATTTTTATCATTTGAAGAGCTTTATTCATTTTGTCATTCACTAGCTATTATTTAAAATATATCACATGGGCTGGAACCAAATTAAAGTCAATAAAAAAAAAAAATAATAATAAATTTTAACTACGATGTTTTTACTTTAGAATTTCATGAAATTTAAATTAAATGAATATATATATAGTTATTTTATTTTTAAAGATGATTCTCAAAATATTAGAGCTAATTGCTAATAACACTTTTTATAATTGAATTTTTGACTGGGCTTAACTGTTATTGTCATTAAAATCTTCACTTGTTCTATCTGATGAAATAATGTCAGTGTCTTGAATAGTTACTAGCAATTAAGCTGAAGAAGTTCTTGATGAACTGTTGAGTTATTTACTGCCTTACTGAAATATTGAAATCATTATAAATTAACTTCATGAAAGGGGAAAAATTTAGATGAAGTGTTCTTAGCAATGAAAACATCCAACTTAATTTCATCCACCTTCATATTTTAAATATTTTTGATTCCATTTGTTTCAATATTGTTTTAATATTTTATAGCAATTAATGGCATTGAAATATTGAAATAATTTATTGCACAGTAGTCGTAGGCATGCCAGCTTCAAACATTAACACGCCACCTACTGATCGCACTAACTCACCCCTGCAAACACACCGCACCTCCTCTCACCCCCTAGAGTCTGTCTCACTGTAGAATACTTCGGGAAACGGCTTGCATTGTAAGCTATACATGCACCTCTTTTACTCTCACTTATTCTCACTTCCAGTCACTCATTTTATTTTTATCTTATTTTCTTAAGACATCTGAAAGCTGCCAAACTAACCACTTCATGCTAACTAACTTTCAATTATAACTGGACTAATTACAGATAAGTACAGAACTCTAGATTGGAGTGTAATAATTTAAATTTACTGAAAGGAAATTAACTGCTTTTGGAAGGAATATTGTTAACTCATTGATTTACTTTTAGAAATATGTTAGATTTTGGATATGGAATATATTTTGTTGTTTCATAATTTTTTTTTTCTAATTTATCGTTTGGTCTATTTATAATTATTAGGTGTTTTAACTGGTTCATTTATTAAAATTTTCCCATTTAATTATTAATCCACAAGCATATGCTTATTTAAGACTGATAGATACTGGTATTATTTAGGGTATTGATGTTATTTATTAAGATTTATATTTATAAAATTATGGTCGAAGGTTGGCAATTTTTTAATTTATCAATAATTTAAT